GGGGGGGGGGGGGGGGGGGGGGGGGGGGGGGGGGGGGATTCACTTACCCGTCTGCGGCAACCTTTGGCAAAAACTTCCGAACAGCTTCGACATCACACCTGCCCGGCAATCCTAGTCCCCTCGTGTCCAAGTTGGGTGGACGTCAGTCGTACAGCAACACAGGGACCCCGTTCTGTAAGGGGGTTAACGAGACACCCCCTAACGGTGTCCATAACTCATACATTCAGCAAAAGCCATTTTCCAGATTGGCATTACAACAACTGTAGGTAAAGAAAAGGAGTAGGAGCAGGTAGCCATAGAAGAAGAGAGTGCCCATTCACTTTGAATGGGGTGACGTCACGTTGCCTCGCTTTTCGCCGAACTGAATTGTGGGTAGCAGAGCGGAGCTTTCCTGGCGTTTCAGGCTGCAAAAGTTGAGCAATGTTCAATTTTGAAGCTTTCGGTGGAAGCGTCAGCCAATCAAATCATATGCCAGTACAAGCTCTAGCCAATCAAACCGCTGCTTGTGTGTCAGGGGCGGGAGATTCATGTGATTGGTTGTTGGTCGAGTTTCAGACACGCCTGCCGGCAAGCTTTTTTTTAAGCTGAAGTGTGGACGGGCACCAACGCACTAGCCCACTGCGCCACACGCCTCCCTACAACCTCCAACAATATTCCAGGTGCAGCTAAATAATAAAATAGCATAATAAGGGATAGTAAGGTGATCGTCAGTCAGGACCACACGCACGACTCAGGACCACATCGACGGGCACGACTCAGGATCCAGACATAACCTTCCGTGCTGACACCCTGCCAGGTAACAGACACAGAGACTCCTGATGAGGCCCAGATACTGTAATGCTTTTATGGGATAGGAGTGCAAAGGGATGAGAGGGGTGGGGGAGGAGAAGAGGTCCTTCTAAGCCTTTAGCAGCATAACTAGGGGCTGATTCCAGGCAAACTTAAGCCAGCCCTAACTATTAGCTTTATCAAAAAGGAAGGTCTTAAGCTGAGTTTTAAAAACAGATAGGGTGTCTGCTGCCCGAACACAAACTGGAAGCTGATTTCACAAATGTGGAGCTTGATAAGAGAAGGCTCTGGCTCCCATTGTACTTTTAGAGACTCTAGGAACAACTAACAACCCTGCATTCTTGGAACGGGAATCTCTTTGACAAGAGAATCGTGAATGCTTTTGATAAAACAATCCCACTCATACCTGGATACTCATCAAGACAAAAGACTGCAAAAAAAGGCAGGGATATATTTGTGAATATAAAATGTAGTCTTTAAAAGAATGACTGGTTAGTACACTTGTGTCAAAAAGTCCTTATTACAGCACAAGAATAAAAGATCTGCAGTATCCACATAATGTGGCTTGGTAGGATACGGAGCGGTTTGAATCACGGAGATCATAGTGACGTTCAGAGAGAGAGAGAGTGTGAGTCAAACATACGTCACTGTACACACACACACACACACACACACACATTGCAGGGTCTGACTTGAACCTGTGACCTGTAGCTGTACACTGGTGACACCAGTGCGGGGGGGGCACCAAGGGTTCACAAGTCAAATTGAAAGAACCCCCCACCCTGCTTTCCAAGACCTCCCCATGTATACTAAATAATACATGTCAAACTGTGTTCTGTGTGTGTGTGTGTGTGTGTGTGTGGTGTGTTTGAGTGTGTGTGAGTCACAGAATGTTGGGGAGGACCACACCCAGCTGGTTGAATTGCTGTTGGCTTGATCAACCCAGGTAGTGTGTGTGTGTGTGTGTGTGTGTGTGTGTGTGTGTGTGTGTGTGTGTGTGTGTGTGTGTGTGTGTGTTGCTTGCTTGCTTGGCCACTCCTCTGTCAAAGCTTTCCCTCCTGTTCCAACAGACTGACACTACAGAGGTCTGAACACGTCATGTTCAACTGGTTCACCTTTATACAGTCTCTGATTCTCACTGATAAGTTCCACCAGAGACTCTGCTCTGCTGAAATGATTTCTAAATCCACATTATGCCAAATAGCAAATGTGCTGGTGTGAAATCATGAAACAGCTGGAAATCCACTGCCTGTTCCATTACAGATATCATGGAGACGTGTGGACTCAGGCTGGACTTTGCAGTTCAACATGTTTGAACAATTGAACCGGCTGCGGGGGGGGGGGGATAGACAGCCAGCCAATCATATTAGTTTTGATTATTGCCACAGAGGTCCTGTGGCACCCAAACACCTGAGTGACACTGAACAAGCTTTGTCCTGTCTCTACGCTCCGAAGTCACTCGTCATACCAGTTTGTCCAAATAAAACTATTGGTACTATGTGCAGCCTGTTAACATATTCCCTTTAGCCTGCTGCTGCGAAGAGAGACTTAAACACCTGAAGATGACCTTTGACTTGTTCTAATGTGTACAGCTCACACAGTTCATCTCTCTGTGTGCCTCCAACAAAGTGAGCGGAATACTTCCTCATTTGAAATGTGTTCTGTTATATGTACAGTGTCAGGCTACAGACTATTGTCCTAGGAACCACCATACAGAGTGTGTGGCATGGGGAAAGGATTGAGGAAGCCAATTATCACACACACACCTGCAAACTCACATGTTGTTAAAAAGGTGACATGTTGGTAAACCGGACTGTAAAACAAGCCAAACCACATTCCTGATTTTGGGTCATTACAGACTCAGTAGAGTAAGGAGTAATTCCATTTAGATTAAATTAGTTCATTTGAAAGTGCCTGCGCCCTGCTGCTGCAAAGAGGGGACAATGTTTGTTTTTACATTTCAAGTTTACTGACATGTCCAAATTGCACATCTTGGGTCCCCAGGAATACACCCATCAAGTGTGGACTTACGAACTGTTCCCAACATGTTCTTGTGCAGAATAAACCGGTGTTCTTGTTTATTACATTTGTAACCATTTTTCAAAACACTTATAACGAGTTATACTTTTAAAAAGTAGTCACGACAAAATGTGCCGTTTTAAAAAGTGTTGGGGACATGTCCCCAGTGTAAAGGACACCTGTGGATATACGCCTCCTCTCCTATTGGTCCACAGTATGACATGTGGAATGCTGCTGGTCCGGAGGAAGGCCCTGCTGAACAGATAAAACTGGGCAGGGTGCTAATGCAGTTAAAGTGCCTATATTTACTGCTCGGCTATTTAACTCTCTGTATAACATGCATCATATCACATGTAAAGGTAACTTCACATGAAAGAAACTGTGGAGTAGATGGTAGGTTTCCTCCTGAAACATTGTGGAGATCTTCTGTGTACATCCCTGATATGTACACTCTTTACACACGTCTATCATCTGAGACACAGGTGGCTTCTTCTGTTTCAAAGTCAATAACAACATATTCCTGTCCATTTCTGAGGCTCATGTATCTGACATAGTGTGTTGCTTATTGCTTAAATCACAAATATTATTTTAACAGTTCTCCCTCCGTTACTGCTGTTTTGCTCCCTTTCTTGTGTCCTTCCCTCTTTTCTTCCTTCCTTCCTCCTTCTGTCTTTCTTGTGTGCAGGATAATGGACACTGAGGCAGATCACCTGAGGAAGGAGGCCACTCCCTCAGAGGCCTCAGGTATTCCTGCATTCCTCTCAATGATAATTGAAGGTGAAAAACAGCCACGGTTTCACCTGAAAGCTAATCTCCTTCAGACTTCTCTTCTAGGTTCAGAGTCTGGCTGTCAGACGTCCTCATGACGGAGTGTTCCCCGCTGAGTTCAATAATCAGAGGGTAATAATAATCAGAGGGTGCAAGTAACTAA